GTGAAGTTGAGGAGAGGGAAATGCAAAGCCCTGCAGGTAGCGAACGCTCCGGGCTCTCAGCGGGGTCAGCCTGACGCACGGCACGCTCTACATTACGTACATCATTTGGCAAATACTCTGGCCAGGGATTTCAGACATTAACAACAGGCTAAGTCAGCTTTGCATCTCTGCTCTGATTGTATGTATTGTGGAAACACCACCCCAGAATTTAAGCAAGCGGCGCAATATTGCCTTCAAATGCAAAAGGAACAGAAAAACGTGCTTCTCTGATCGTATTTCTTTTCTCAGCCATCACCTCTTCTGTTTTATCTTCTTGCTTTTAAAAATAGCACTGCAAGTAAAAAGCATTAATTTTTTTAACTGTAGTCCCCTCCTCTAAAAAAAAAAACCCAGTAACAGCAAAAGAAAACACAAGACTTTTAGACAAACAGGTTTATAAGGTTTATTTTCCATTGCACGTACATGGATTATATACAAGTTAGTAACATAAGTTACTTCTTAATTTTCTAAAAGATTGGTACAGCAAACACTTGCCATTTTAAAACATCAAGTCAGAAATCAATCTAAAAAGGTAAATATGACAATATTTTAAAAACAAAACAAATTGCACTTTATTAGGGAGAGTCAAATACAGGTTTGTCTATATGCTGTAACAAACTATATAGCAGGTAATATTACAGTTAGAAGTAGCTCTTGCAGTCCATTTGTACATTAATAATTCTTTTCAATTTTACTTAATTAAAAACTGGTGGATATTTCAAAGACTTTCTCTTCTTCCTAATATTCAAGATTCATCACATGAAATGCACTAGCAACTAAGTCTTTATACAATTGCTATTCAAATATAAGAACACCACACCTGAAAATAAGGAAAAAACTAAAACGTATTGATTTTACATGTATCATGAGATGAAAAGTATGGAAGGTGTTCAGCAATAAAGCCCTGTCCACTACTTACATAAAAGAAGATTTTAAAAAATAATCACTGCACACGAATACAAAGGGTGGGGTCATACTGTAGTTGTTAAGTCTCCTGGAACAGTAATATTCCTCATTACTGTTCACAGATGAGTGTTTCCATAGCAAACCTGTTCTCAAAGTGTCGAATCTTTCGGCAATTGACGGCTTCGCGCTTCTGAATTCCTGTTTGTATTAGGAAAGAACAATGGAGGGTAAACAGAAGAGGGGATGAGGTACGTCAGAGACATAACGGTTTTACATTTGCTATAATAAGATGTCACCAGAAATCAGAACTACCCCTCCTTGATCCCCCTCTCAGGGCAAACACACATAGGGACACATTCATACTTCAAAAAAATCAATAAGCAGGCAATGACCCTGAAGGTGTGGTGAACCCAATCGCAGAGCTGGTTTAGTTAAAACCAACCTGCCCAAACCCCTCGCTGGCTAGTTTTAACCCAGATCAGTTCCTAATCTCCCTCTCTGTGCGTCTTTAAAAACGCTGGTGGGAACATGAGAGAGGGAACAGCAAAGGAATAAACTGCCACAGGCAAAAAAGAGTGGAGTGGTAGTATTTAAACAACATCTTGGAATGGGAGAAAGACAGATTTTAACCAAATTTTAGCTGAACTAATGCCAACCTATGCTCATCATTTGATGATGATGATCCCACAGGATCAACACACTGAATTTTGAATTGGATTTTGCTATTAAGGCCTTTTCATTTTTAAACGTTGTTCTAAATTATTTTTATAAAATGTATTTCTTTTCCTTGTTTTCCCAAGCAGTCAGGTCCAACAGTAAGACTAAAGCAATTAAACTGCTTCAGTGTGCACTGGCACATGGCATATAGTTAAAAAAAAAAACAAAACCAAAACCAAACAAACAAAACCCGCAAGTCTGAGTAAAATCTGAGTGAAAATTTTAAGGCAGTATTTAATAGCTTCTCAAGACTCTTCCAAATGATGTTTTTTAAACATTTTCCATGAACGAGTACCAAGCACTACAATTCTCCTACAAAGACAACTCTTTCTCACATTTCACTGATGCAAATAGGAAGACGTGGACTAATTTATAGATGGCTTTAATGACAAGAAGAACCTGCAATTCTGTACTTGGGACTACAAGGCTATGGCTTCTCATATATTAAAGGTTTTGTTGGCTTGGGGGGTGGTGGTGGTGGATCAAGAAACAAGATTAAAGAAAAGCATCAATGAAAGCCTGAACCCCAGAAAACAAACGCATGCATACACACATATCTTAGCAGCTCCTAGCTCACTGGGGCCTTGAGCACTTTTGCACAATAAAATGCCTTATTTCCATACCTACACAGAAAATATCAGACGTACTTAAGCCCACAGAGCCGGTTACTGCAATAAGCAACCCTTGCTTTAATAAGTCGTTCCTTTCAACACAATCAAGCCTATTCACTGAACTCAAGCGTCACTGAACTTTCTGCCAACGCAAAAGATCGCAGGAGGAACATTTACCTTTCATGGCTTCTTTGCGCTGTAGTTTATAGGTTTCCTTGCCACGGCAGAGGCGGTAAATAAAGAATCCCAGCTGATCCACATTTTCAATGCGATCAGTAACAATCATCTGTTCATGAATCAAATAGGACTGAGGCAGGTATGTTCCAGCCTGTTGAACAAAAATGTAACAGCTCTGTCAAAAGCCGTCGCTTTGTGGTCTAAGTACACCAGAAACACTTTTCAATGTGTTTCTTTAACACGGCTGTGACATATCTTCTTTGAATTCTTTCAAAATATGTATTACCCACAGAATTTTATTCTAAATGTGCAAACATGACTGCACTGCACTACAGAAATACATAATGATTATATTCAAAAAGGTCATGAAACTTCCACTGGTGCATAGGTCCACCGCCCTCCTGCTACAGTAACGTCAGTCTTCAGCAGAGAAGAAACGTTTCCTTCCAGAAGCACCCACTGTCACGTATCAGTCCTGCGCTTACCATCCAAAGTTTTCACTTAATTAACAACAGCCCAACAGACCTCAGTGGGAGCTACTCCCAAATAGGAGCTGGCAGAAACGTGCTCTACACGGAGATACTCTTGCTGATGAAGCGCTCCAGCTGCAGTCTACTCCAGCTGCAGTCCACGGGGTTTGGGAAGCCTTCAACATATTCACAGCGTGAGTCACAACTCTCAAGCCGAATGCAAGACGAGACCATCCAGCCCCTTAAGTTATTATGGCGACTCGCACGATTGTTTATATGGAAAGGTGGTAAAAAGCCATGGGGGTATAGCAGGTGTTTTAAGGCAATACACTGAAAAAGGGAAGAGCCACGACGACATGCAAAGGCTTCCCAAGCCTTTTCTGGTCCCTTCAGTGCTATTTTGCCACAGCTGAAATGATGGAGGAATCCGGCTCTGTGCACACCTCACTGTACATGGCTGAAGGTGCACATACTTAGCTATCAGCCAATTTCCTAATACTGACACTGGTAAATAATCATCAACTTTTTTGAAATATTACTTTATTTAAGAAATCCTGTTAGTGTGATTCTAAATTATGGCAGTAGAGAAGGTGTGGCTTGCTTTCTAAAAATAAAATGATTGCTTATTATGGAAACAAATCCAGCTTCTGTGGTGAAAGATCACTGTATTTTTTTATTGACAATAAAAAACTTGAAATTTCCATTCCAAAACAAGACTGTCTTTTGAGTCCAAGCAACATGTTGAGAAGAAGCTGATTAAATGCTACTCTTTTCAGCAAAGAAACAAAGGACTGTATAAAATTCACTTTAAATTATGAAAAGTTTCTTCAGCACATACTATGAGGAAAACGACAGCAATTTTCTTTCTTTAAATAAGAGCTTGGAAGACTTCACACTCCCAAATTATCCCACTCATTATTTGTTAATTAAAATCACTGTAAATTACTGTATCTTAACCCCTGGTCTCTTGAATTTCAGGAGAGAGCCCCAAGGGAGCCCCAGAGTGCTGCAGGACACTGGTAGGGTGGGCACCGGCAGGGTGGGCAGCGGTGCTGAGGACTTGGGGCAGCCCGCGAGGATGCTCCCGGGCTCATGCCCTCCAAACCGCAGGACCTCCCGGACCACCCCCCGAACCTGGCCTTCTCGGCCCTCCCAGGGAGCACAAAAGGAGGGGGAGCTCAGCACAGGAATCTCCTCTGCTCAGCTGCTGCAGGAGCAATCACCCAGCACTGGGACCCAGCATAGCTGCAAATATCATCACCTTTGAGACGTCCTGTGTATCGCGTACAGTTAAAATTGGCCAGTTGGCTCAACAACAGGAATGAGGTGGATGAACAAGTATACCTGGGTTTTGGCCTTGTTCCCCAAGGAAAGGAGGCCTTTCACTGTCTGCATATTCAAGCAAACTGTATCAATATATAGAGAACTCATTCTTTAGGCTAAAATTATGGCTTTTTTTAAAAAAAACAGAACAGCCCAGAGCACCTCCAGTTTCATAAAATGCCCTCTTGAAGTATTCCAATTTTTTCATTTTAATGAAACAAGCACTTTAATTTAATACATTTTTTTCCTTGTGCAACCGGTGTGACTGCAGGACAGTGAACAGAAATTTACTCACTTCATGCATCTGCAGAACAGTTTCCCAAATTTCAGTTACAAAACATTTAGCCTGATTTTCTGAGACATCAAATGCCCACAGCTTTTTGTTAATACAATGAGAATTAAACAGATGTCTCATAAAATTAGGGCACTCAACTGTTGGGGACAATGATCAAAACAGTTTGCTTTTGCACACATTTTCAATTACATGCGTGATGCCTGGTTATCCTCTTACTTGTAAACCAAGCATATTTGATTTAGTACTAATGACAAACTAGAAAATTAACAGATTTTAATAGTGGAATTTGTGTGAACTAAAAATGGAAACAAGACAGCATACACAGAGTGAAAAAATATGGGGTCACTGAGTTTTACAGCTACTACCTCATCCTTATGCACAGGAAGTGAGAGTGGTTAAATAGCCGGTCTCAAAATAGGCAGCAGAAAAGCAGCAGAGGACTTGTGAAGTCATTTTTCACATGAAATTTATTTATATACACGAACCACTCAGAAATGGCTAAAATGGTTCCCGGAGTCCCAATTCCAAAGCCTTGTTTGAAAGATGCAAACCCAAAGATGATATTAACAATTCTAAAGTTACAAAAGCCCAGTAAAATAAAATTTAAAACCCTCTCCCCAAATCTTAAGACATAAGTTAGCTTATCAGCTCTCTTGCCCACCCAGAGTGTTTTGCTGTTCTGTAAAGAAACCAGAAGGTTGAAAAACAAGGTAAATGCTATTTAAATCTGCATTAAAAGCACATATATGTGAGAGTTAAAAAAAAGATGAAAATGATTCATATTAAATTAGTAACAGACACCATTAGATTACCTACTTTGGCCTCCTCAATTTCACAGGCCATTACATTTCACCCAGTTACTACTACTAACAGAACAGCGTGTCCCCGTGGTGGCAACAAGCCAGCCAGCACCAGCACCAGCACCAGCAGCATGGCAGTAGTGTTCAATTATCAGACCCTGCTGGGAAGCGATTAGGAGCTCCCACAACATTATTCTGAAAACTCATGTTCAGTCGTTCAGCGATTGTGGTATCTCAGTCCTTTCCACAGTCCTTGTTTTTAAGGGCAACGAATCTTGTTCTGAAGGTCTGGTGCTCGCAGAACCAGGAATCTTGCTATACTAAAAACCCTCTTGCTTAAACGCGCTTTGCTAATCACACAATGCAAATCCTGATCACTCCTACAAAACCTCCCTGGAAACAGGAATATCCATCTTAAGGCTGCTGGAAGCCTCATGAACTCGCATGCAGTACTAGTCCACCACACGTACTGCCACATCTAACTTCCCTGAGCACGCACAGGAGATCCAACACACCTCATGTACCTCACCCTCAAGGCACTGGTTCAGTTCCACGTAGGGGCCAACCCTAGGGACCTATGCTTTAAACAATGCCCATGTTAAAAGGATTTCCCAGTATATCTACTTCAAGCCTCTCAGCTAACCAGTCTTAGTCCAGCGCATACATGCTTTATGGAAACTTGAGTCACAAAAACACATAGACTACTATCAAAGAATCTAGGTACACCACATTTACACAATTTTCTGAGCCAAATTTGTACCATCAAATAATAAAATCAGGTTTGTTTGCCTTCCTCTGAATTAATAACTCCTTCATGGTTGTAGTTAATTAACTAAGAAGGTTATAGACTTTTTTCTCTCTTTGCAAAGATTCTAGTGATCAGTTAACTTTCTAATGCATGTGCCTTGTGTGAATGTCAGAGTTCTGGCCAAAAAAAAAAAATTCTCCTTTTTCCCTGTCTTAAGAACAAATTACTTACGATTTAACCATACCTTGATGTTGATGAGCAGCTCCAGGAAATTTTTTGGCGGCATAACAACTGAAGTGTTCAGAGGAATCACATAGCACTTATCCAGGCTAAGGTCAAGATAGGCAGTGAGTCTCTGTTGCGGAAAAATTTATTTTAATCAAAATAACAAGATCAGAAAATTCACATACAGACTTTGCTGAACTGCTATTGCTTCGTGTTGTTCTTCAAATTATTGTTTTGTTCCCTATAAAGTCTGTCCAACAAACTCCAATTTGAGGGTAAGTAAACGCAGAAATAAAAGCCAGTCTTGATGAGAGTTTAGATCTACGACAGGGATTTGCGCAAGGCAGCAGGTGATAAGTAGCTCAAATGCACTCCAGTAATGAAATTACAAAGGTGATTCCCTAACAGCTCAGATACAACTACAGTATTCATTTCTTCCTAGTGCCTGCATTTTGAAACAACAGGGCAAAACGCCTGCTCTAATCTCCACGCTTTTATACTTTGTTAAAATGGGGAAAAGCTGCTGGTAAGAACAAAATACAGAAGGAAAAAAATCCTGTTACAGACAATGCAACAAAAATCCTTTTATTTTCAAAAACACTACTGACTTGAAGTGTTAATGATTAGTCATAGCTGGATTATCTTTATAGTGAACTTCAATATTTGCCATTATTTGATAAAAACAGAGACATAAAAGCCCAGTGAATTATCCGACGAATCCTATGGCTCTGTTCACTGAGCTGTGTTTTACTGCTCTGTTCTTGCTAAAGACCACATTATCTCAAGCTGATGAAAGCTCTAAGGCTGCAGACGTATATAAAATACTGAGCACCAAGAGCGCAACAGTCAAAATAGTACGAGGACAGCAATCATCAGTGCAACTAATCTCATTACATAGGCATAAGTGCTGTGCCTATGGCAAATGATCCTTGCACTGACCTTTAGAGCAAAGCCTTTAACCCATTAAATCAAAAGGTAAAATTCTAATATTATATTGTTCCTCTTCAATTCTTACGTACTGCTCTAACTCTTAACAGAAGCTCCCTAAATATATTCAGGAATATTTTTAAATGACATAGCTCAAGCAAGCGATGTTTTCCTCCAAATCTGGTTATGAATATTTGATAGATAGCACTCATTTTGCCTGGAAAACTTGAAACTCTGAAGTTTGCATAAAAAAATAGGACGCTTCCCCTATTCTCTTTTTCAGCCTTGCTTAAAAAAGCCATTCAAGCGAAGCCTTCAAATGTTCAGAGAAATTTAGCTTCCTGAAAATCAGCTGTAGAACATTTCATCGCTATCAGACAGCTTCCATCAGGCTGCTACAGAAAAGAAGGGCTTCTAATTGTTTTACAGCTCTGTCGTTAATAGCGAGAGCTGCAGGCCTGTCAACTGCCTTACCAAAAATTTATTACCACGATTCCTATCAATCAAAGTTGTTTCCACAAAAAAGGAAGAAACAGCTAGAAGTGCCTTGGTACCCTGGTTCAGTGCCTTTAGGAATCACAGTAGCCTGTGGTGCACAAGGAGAATTTAGCTTCTGCTAGGCTTCCCACAGCATCTGGAAAACAAGCTCTCTTCCATGGTCGGTCAGCTGGTCGCTTCCTTCCCTTTCTGCTGCTGCTTTGGGGTTTCTGAGCTATGCTATGAGACCAAGCTCTGGGGGTGCTTGAACATACCTAGTGACGTCAGACGCAATCAGCCCCTGCAAGTTGAGGTCAAAGCTACGATAGCCCTTTCTAAACTTTCCTTGGCACCACAGCAGTTGGTCAAATTCTGGTTCGGTGGACACAGCACAGCAAGAACAATATTCTCTTTACTTCCTCATATTAAGGTAAGGAAATAGCTCTAAGATTTTTCTCTTTCTAAAAACGGAACCGTATTTGCAAATGGTGGTTTACAAACTACCTCATGATTTAACGCTCTATTTTGTATGCCCGGGTAATAATTGCTTGCAGCCTGCTGCTGATCAAAACGTTTCTGCTGCCTCCTCCACCCATTGCTTTCCCCCACCACAATAATTATGGAGTACGTTTATCAAGATGACTGAGGGGGAACATTTTTCAAGTTTTAAATGCTTTCAACTTCTTCAGAAATATTTCTTACCCGGTGGAAGTCATGGACGATATCAGCAGGATCGCTATCAGCAAACTCAGGGACCGGCACACTGATAAACTCAACATCTTCCTCCTCCAGGATCTGAATATTTTGCTCAATCGTGTGGTAGCGAGCACTCTGAGCCTCTGCCCCAGGCTCAGGTAAACTTAAGCCGTCTTCAATGTACTTTATTCCACAGAAATACACACCACCCTGCTAGAAATAGTAAACAACCCAGCAACAAAGACATCAGTAGCCTTGTTAGAAGTTTAAAACTAGTATTCTCAAAGCACTGTGGAGAAGAATAACTTGTCAGACTAGATGAAATATTTCCCTTTAATTTGATTCGTACACCAAAGTAGGAGCCAGTTGCTATCTGCAACAGGACCATGGGTAAAACCTTGATTGTACTGAACCCAGAGGGAGTCCTTCCCTTGAATTCAAGGAAAACAGGATCCTGAAAGCAGGTTCTTAAAATCTAGTATTCTGTTTTGCATCCGTTACCTGTGCCACATTGCATCTTAGTTTTAGAAAGACAATGAGGTTCCTATGTCTATATGCACGCATATTATTATTAGATTATGATTTAACTGCAGTCATTAATTACAATTTAAGACATTGGAATTGATCATCCAAATCACCTTGAAAAAGCAAATCTAACTCTGACTTTGGTCCTGCTTGCAGCAGGGGGTTGGACCAGATGACTTCAAGAGTTTCCTTCCAACTTCAATTATTCTGTGAAGCTGCTTAGTTTTGCAAGGCTTCAGAAGTTTTGAAAGTCAGTTTCTAAAATAAATTATTTTTTGTTTTGAACAGTTTTAAAAGACAAAAAGGTAATAAAAATAATTTAAAACAACCAATTTGTGTCTTTCTGTCACAGTACACATGGCAGGTTACCTAAGTGAAGCGTAAAATAAAGTTCTGAGTCAGAGGAAGTCATATACCAAATTTATAGGCCAAATAGTTTTAGAAAGATACAACTTATGCACATGCACATGCCATCAATTTAAAGTTTTACATGGAAAACATGTCTTCAGTGCAATGTTAGCTCAATTCCTGAATGTTTCCTTCAACCCAGATCTGATTCATAAGCAAGCACCACAGGTTTGAATTAAACGGCACTTTCAATTTCAGCTAGCTGGCATGTGAAAGGCAGAGCACCGCGGTGCTAAGCACGGATGAAACATGCATTAGTAATACAGCAGGCCTTCAGCTACTCTCAGCTTGTTAATCCACCAAGATACACTATGCTATTTAAGCATCGTTTGCAACACTGCTCCTCCCCTGTAAGTTAGGTTAACGTGATAGCCAAAGAGACTATAAACTGCAAGTTCAGCTAGAATTTCTCATGTTTAATCACTTTGCCTTCCACATTAGCAGTAACTAAAATGAGAAAAAAAAAAATCCTGGTAGCAGGGACAAGAACACAGAATTTCTACCTTATAATTATGTGCGCTAACCAGCGGGCTAGGGAGATTGATGTTTTGCTTACACTCTCCCTTTCTGACCCTGTGAATCTTGCAACCCCGGCAGTTTCTGAAGGAGGGAGGGTGTACTCGCACCACCTGGGGCAACAGCCCGGCAGGTCCAGCGCTGCCCAGTGACAATCCAACCCGAGGAAGACAATGTTTAACTCCCATGATCTCCCATGTTTCAGGTAAATGCTCCACTTCCCTGGCACCGCTGCCTTCACAGGGCTCCTCTTACAGCGGTGCCATTCGTTAAAGACTGAAAATACATTTTGTCAGAGGTCTGATCTTGTCAGTGCGGATTAGACTTGACAGAGAATGCTTAACCATGCTGCCTGTGCGTCTCCCAAGTCCCCTGCAGGGCCTGTATTTCTTATCCCTGTGGAGGCTAGGAAGGAGAAGAGTCACTGCCCTGCTTTGACAAGCAGCCCCTTTCCCGGGCATTAGCAGGACTGCATGCTTCTAGGAAATCTGGGGTCCAACAAGGAGGCTTTCAAGGGGTTAATCCACCTCCAGTATTTGGCACTTCGAAACAGGAGAGATAGCAGGTGAAAATCTGGGACACCACTAGGGTTCCTAAACCCAAGTCCTATTTAGATATAATCCTTAATAAAAAGTAAGGTTTTCAAAAGTGCTGCTCCCTTTTATTTGCCAGCTTCGCTCCCGCCCTCCCCCGCTGATACATAACTTCAGAGCAGGCCATACACTTTTGCTTTTAGAAAAGCAAAAGAAAAGTTTTGGAAAGAAGAAAAAGTAGAAAGGCTATTTGGTTTAATCTGTTGCTCCCCTTCCCTCTTCTAAATGTGAGGCATAACAGAAAAACACAACCCTCCCATAACAAAATGTATTTGACTTACCTGGAATGCAAAATATTTGTACAGATAGGCACCACCCAGGATCACACCAGCCAGCATAAAGGCCAATCCGAAGCACATGCACCAGCACCAGGCCCTCCTCTGCCCAACAGGCACAGCATCCTCGGGGTCCTGCAACGCATGGGAGAGAGACCCTCAACACACCGTTCCGAAGACACGTATGATAGCAGATACTTCAGAGCCTGAACACACATATGATAGCAGATACTTCAGGCCCACCAAGTACAAACATCGCATCTATCAGAAAAGGCTATGCACGCTTTATCACAATTGCTTGGGAACGTATTTTATTTGGAAACATGTTTTATTTCGTAAAGTTTAAAACATCTATTTATGTTGAGGTTTAGGAAAACCTGTACTAACAGTCACTTCTAATGCCACTGTCACTGACTAAATCAGCAGACTTAAGTCTTAAGGAAGAGAAAAACGTAATAAAATCTCCCAAGATACCTAATAGCACACAGTAAGCCACTTTACAGATTGCAGACAGAAAAACATCCGTTCTCAGGCAGCCTCCATGCAACAACAGCAGAGCAAGGAAGCCAATTCAGAAAGGTCAGATTCTTTTTTATCTTGGTATACGCCAATTAAGTGAACCTGAAGAACCAACAAAAGATCAAAGGCAATAAGAACAGCAAAATATGTCCTTTCCTCTGTTGTTCTATCAGGAAGAAAGAGGCTTCACCACCTCTTTGCTGGCAGAGTAAGAAGAGTGGGAATGAAAAAAAAGATGCTTTGTAAGTTGTAGTTAAGGAAGTTTTCTGCTTGAAGACAGCGTTCACCATGCCTCACTCGATCTGCTGAGCATGTTATGCTAAAGGAATGACAGGATGTTTCCCCTTTGGGGCACTAGTTTGCATAACCATGCAGTCCCCACAGGCATCCTAAGCAATAAACTGCTGCTTGCAAAATCTTTCCTCTATCAGCCACATCACAATGCTCTTTTCTTCCCCAAGTGTTTACATAACTCACATCCAAAAAAAAAGGAAAAAAAAAAAATCCAACCAAAAAACCCCCATCCTTTAATCACCCTCTTCCAAGCCATGATAATCCTGGGAAAATATCAGAATTCAAATAAATACAAAGCAATTCATTACCCCTTTGCAACCAAAAAAACCAATAGAGTAGCATGATGATCGAGGTGAAATCATTACGGACAAATAAACAAAAAACCCCAAACCAGAAAATGGAGGAAGAGCATGAAGGAAGCGCTTGAGAAAGCATGGATAGCTACCGTTGTCCTGCCTCATGTGGGTTTTTTTCCAGTATTTGCTAATTACAACGACTTCCCACTTGAACAAAGTTGTAGGTGTAGTCTCCACCCTGCATTGGTCCAGGGGGGAGGAACGCCCCTCATCTGGCCAAAGCCATCTAAGCAAGTCTGACACCAAATGGAAATGGGACCCTCCCTGTAAATGGTGGGGGGAAAGAGGCGCTTCCTGAGAATGACTCATCCCAGCCATCCCTGAGAGGGTCTTCTGGAGGGACTTCTTTACACTGATTATAGAGGGAGATTCCTTGGTTAACGAACTAGGTACCTAATTCATACGCACCTAAAATTAGGTGATGTGAAACCCACCTTTACAGTACACTGCAATTATCTTTCATACAGAAGTGGCAATGCAGCTTCTCTGCCAGGCAACGGCTGCCAAAATCTGATTCAGAAATATTTAGAGTCGAACTCCGAAGATATTTTACAGATTTTGTTTTATGTTGCCGTGCAAACTATCGCAGTAAATCAGGTTGTGAAATCCCCATCTTTGGAGGTTTTCATGGTTCAACTAGACAAAGCCATAGCTGATCTTGCTTTGGCAACCATCCTGTGCCTAAAGAGAGGCTGGACCAGATGACTTCCAGAGGCCCCTTCCAACCAACATTTCTGGGATACGTTACAAGGCAAAGTGAGAGTGGCTAGAAAACAGTTGCCATGGACTGAAAAAGCAGAATGAAAACAAAAGTAACAACTTTTAAATGTTTTACATTACTAATTATTTAAGGAATTCAGTGTAAAGAATTACAGGATTACTAGCTGCGTGGGTTTTTTAACCTGGCTGTTTGCAAAGACTGAGAATAGAATGTAATACCCATGGTAATCTAATTAACTTTCAGGTCAGGTTAAGATTCACTGTGGATTCTTCTATAAATCACCTCAATTATAAATCTAAACCAGGTAAAACAAGGATTTTTATTTTTATGTTGCCCCGTATCATTAGGTAACTATTTCCCTAGATATTTCAACACATAAAGGACACCCAATTGAAACTTTTTAAAATAGCTGTCATTTAAACTGTTGTAAGTTAATGTCAGAAAAACGGATAGCAAACTGGCTCTGGGATACAATGCCAAAATACTCCCTAGTGCAGAATATAAAGAGTATCTTTATTCCTTCCCAGCACTGCTTTTATTTCCTTCCTTTTTTTTTTAACTCCAAGCAGAATTATCCATTAGTGGAATAACTGCCTCTTCCATTTTTACATCAGACAGGCTTACAAAATATGCATCTGGGAAATGGTGCGCGAGGCACACACAGCGTTAACACCTACCTGGAAACGGGGATGAACGTCAAATTAATTTTGCACAGGCCACAAAAATAATCAGAAAAAAGGAAACTTTTACACTTTTACCATGCTAGGAGGAACCTGAAGGACAAGTTTATCAGTATTCCACCCTAATTTTGTTTTGATATACGAGATGGCAGATGTAAATGATACATTTAATACAACTCTTTAATCCTCTACCAGCAGCTCAATGTTATCATTATTATTTCTGAAGGCATCCCTAATGGTGGCACAGTAACACATTTTGTATTTGTAGTTGCCTATTGCATTGATTTGTCCATAGCCTACTGAAAACAGCACACCAAATTTAGAGCAAGAGTTCAAGCCCAGTTTAGCCTCTTGCTTAGGTCAGTATATGAAAGTATTGCATCTCAGTACAGTGGAACCACAAGCATTAGGTAACACTGAAAACATTTTATGCTGTTGAAGGAGAATCTTCTGAATCTGAAAACTAGGTACACCATCAAGCAGTTTAAAACCAGCTTAAATTAAAATATTATAAATAGCCTACTGAAGCTAAATTATACTCATATTAGTAGCCGTCCCATGGCTAAGGTGGCTACGCTTTTGTAGTGTTGCCATGACAGCCTAGTTTGGGCTGAATTGACCCAAAAGAATAATTCATCCCTCGCTATATAAATCTGACCCTCCGCACTGCGAGAGAAGAAAGTGCGACGGATGCTGACCCTCCTTCCAGGTGACTCACGGTCTGAAAGAAAAAACATTAAGTGAAAGTGGATCCCCACTAAGAGGGACAGTGCTGAATTAGCACCTCTCCCCACATAGTTACAACCACACTTTGTTCCGAGATAGCGGCGCCAGCTTCTGAAGCCAGAGCACAACATGAGATTGCAGCATCACTGACTAATTTTTCTCTAGGTCAGCTTTCTACTGCCAGAGGTATCTGACAAAAGAAAGCCTCATGTACCTGAGGTGAAGATTGACCTCTAGAAATATGCGTCTCTCCTTTTGTGAGCAGCAACAATTAATCACTGCTGTTCTGGTCCTTTTCTTTCCACTCTTCTGCTTCATCCCTGCCCCGTGTACTTCCAACTCCCCGGTGAATCCTCAACCTTAAGATGATGCCACAGAACTAATCTTCTCTGATGCAAAATGCCTTAGGAGGAACTGGATGCAAGCCCAATACTAGCTTGTTTCCTTGATGAGCTGATTGTTCTAATTGGAAAACATTTGATTAGCCTATTTCCCATGGACAAGACATGAAACAGAAACATCTCTCTGCCACTTGTACACTAAATCCTAGAGTGTTAAAATTAAATGGTTCAGAACTTCCCAACCTGAATAGCTTCAAGCTCTGCAGGAACAATTGTCCTGCAGATAGAAAACGAGAAGTGTTAAATTCTCTATTATTTGAGATTGGCAAGATTCAAATCTGTCGTCTTCTCACAAAGAAGTTACAAGATGACTGCAGTTTTCATAACGATCCCTTCCAGAAACCACAGCAGCTAATGTAAAGCTGCACTCTCTCGTTACTGGAACCATGGAAAACTTTAGACATGGACAAATGATACCGCAAACTATTTACCAAAGCACCTCTTCACAAGAACATATTTATGACAATTAGCATTAACTGTTCTGGAGTGGATTAAAAGGAAAAAAAGCTAATACCCCCTAAACCTGCATACGTTAGCAGTTATTAATGGCTACTGACCATATATTCTCTTGCTCTTATCAATTTTAATGCTACTTTTTTTTTCTTTAAAGAAATGGTGAATTTCAGAACGACCAAATTTATGTTTGGGGTAACATCACAAAATTCATCTAAGAAGCTCCAATACTGAGCCACAAATGTGTATAATTAGACTTGGTAATTACTTAGATTTTCCCCTTGTGGCTTTTTGTACATAGTGGAATATAATTGCTTTAACGTTATAAAAGTAAAGCAGTCTAAAAACTTACAAGGCATATGTCTAGTTCATATTAAAATGGGTGAGAAGATTATCAGACCTTGTTCCTTCTCAGAAATTAAGGACACATCAATTATATGATTAAAAAAAAAAAAAAATCATATGAATCAATTAGATAAGAATCCACCTGAACCAGATACGGTGGATATGCTATGGGGAGTCCAGAATATTGTATGACCGTTGTGCACCTATGCAAAAGATAACGGCCCAAATTTAAAAACAGATATGATAGCAATAAAAATAACTTTGGGAGGGGGAAGTGTCTTTCAGAGCTGACACACAGTCTTTGATCCACAGAGAAACCAGATGTAGAGTATTACTGAGTATTACAAATATTACTAAAAATGTCTGCAGCATAACACACAAACATTCCATAATTACGCATCTCAGAATAACATCTTTTATATATATATATATATATACACACACACACATATAAAAGCTTACAATTACTGTGGGCAGAACTGGCTGGAAGCTGTTCAGAACAGTTTTCTTCCAAGGTCCTTTACATGCCAGTTAGCTCAGACGGATGGACAGAATGCAGTGGGGCAGACTGAGCTTCCTAAAGGCAAATACTGACCAACTGCAGCTTTAATTAGTGGAATGGGGAGAAGAGAAGTTAATGACAACTCCCTAAAAGTGTTTTTTAATGATGGAGGCTAAAAAGTCTTGAAATAAAATACTGACCAATGGCTGTATAAACTGAATTCTGTTGGTCAGGCTCGCCTGCTCTGACTTGTAAATCTGACATCTGTAGAAAATCCTCCCAAAAGACAGTCAATTTAAAATGAACCTAATTTAGAAAGAGCTCTGCATTCCTCCCGTGGTATTCCTGCCTGAAGACTGCTCCAAGCCTGGTATTCTATTTATTACTTGTTGCAGATGGGAAATTAAGGCAGGCTTTTGCAAGACTCCTCACTTGGCAGATGCTGTGAATCTGGAAGGCCATCATACCGATCTGCCTCTCAAGCAGCAATTTTATGCTTCCTAATAAAATTAAATTCAAATTTTAAGTACAATGATCTTTTAACTTGCTAGTTGGAAAAACAGATTCTATATACAATAGATGCTTCACAGATCTCTCGCTTATCGCAAGGAGTGACGTATTCTTTCTACCCAGATGATGAAGCCTGAAAACAAGCTATGGTTGTTTATGTGCAGTTGATATCTGAACACTGCGACCCTTCTGTGGCAGCACTGCCAGTTCCTCTTCTGTCAAGATGGACAGGGACTCGTCCATCTGGCCAAAGGCTCTCTGCCTAAAAAGTACCGTAAAAACCAGACCTTAGTTCTGGCGTTGCTTGCTGTAGTCACGTAGCCTGGATAACCAAGGAGATTAATTAATTAGAGTTATCTATTAGGCAGTTGGTACTATTAATCTCTTCCTGTATTTCTAGTATGTGTATATGTTCTATAAAATAATACTGTAAGTACAAAATCTGTTGTACGGCACTAGGAAATCCAGCAGCAAAAAGAAAATACCTTCCAAGTGCTTTCCAAAGTGCAATGTCCAAGGTCATTTTGATATTAGTTGAATGCTACCTTTCACCAAATGGGGATGTTTTATTAAAAAATGAGGTGTCTGTCAAATGTCATGGTTCAAACATCATAACCATCATGGAATAAAAACATTATCATGCCTGACCAACCTAGTGGCTTTCTATGATGGAGTAACTACATCAGTGGATGAGGGAAGAGCTACGGATGTCATCTATCTGGACTTCTGTAAAGGCCTTTGACACAGTTCCCCACAATATCCTCTTCTCTAAATTGGAGAGAGATGGATTTGATGGGCGGACTCTTCGGTGGATAAGGAATTGGCTGGATGGTTGCATCCAGAGGG